ATTTTTTGAAAGGGAGGGCGTTTCCAAAACTGGTCTATTAAAGTACCATGCCGATGCTAACATATTGTGACCATAAACATTATTGAATAAATACCACTAACTGTAAATCTTCGGCTACATAAAGTTAAAGGGATAGTTGAGTTCTGTTTTCAGACCGCAAATGCCTTCAAAGTGCATGGTTATTGCTCTTATTCTTATCTATGACATTTCTAGTGCCCTTTTAGAACCTAAAATTGCTATGAAGGTAATTTTAGACCCCAAAATATGTGAAATTTAGCCGATACGACACACCAATTCAGCTCCACTTAAAAACATGGTGACCGTTAATTCATTATTTAATTAAAAATAACATAACATGGGCCGGCTGTTGTGTGTATAATAAGCAACACAAAAATACCAATAATAAGCAACACGAAAATGCCAACAGAAAAGTCAACATCGACATTGGCTGAAATACGACGTAAAAGGCGTTATTTCGTTTTTTTCAACGGTTTTTTCAATTTTTTCAAATTATCTAATATTTGTGGTGGTACACAAGTATTGGAAATCGTTATATTTCAGCCGTCTCTGAACCGATTTTGATCAAACAAAGATGATTTTGTCATTTAAATATTATGTTCTTTCAAATTTGACACTCAGTTTTTCATTATCTCACAAAACAATTATTTTGTGTAGCGCCCTCTGCAACAGAACTCAACTATCCCTTTAAGAGATCAAAGTATCCCTCGATATCATCTGGAATAACACACTGGCACAATATTACTACAAGGAGAAAAATATTGATTCATTCAGTTTATTTCATTTTTTTTTTATAAAAACCGTTCAGCTACTATAATACTGATTTCGCAAAGGGGCCGCGAAACCAAGTAAATTTAATACTAATTACACATTTAAAAAAAATATATATCAAAACAGTAAATGTGATTCTTTGATACACAGTCTCTGAAATAAAAACATACTGATATGAATAATGATAGAGATCATGAAGATATCTCGATTAAATATCTCAACTAAATTTACCAACTAAACTAATTCTAGAGTCGGTTTACAATGCCCCCCCCCCCCCCCCCACTCAGTGTTATTTAGGGTACGCGTATGCATGTTCTCTCCTTTTGAAAACACCCCTCTATTAAAGTCGGTGTGTAAAGTCAATACGGGCCGGATTTGTGTGTACTACGAGCCGGACTTTGGTGCGTGAAAAGTACTCCTTTACCGAACATTTTGGGAACACGCATGGTATCCCTCCGTTCTCGGAGTGGGGGGGGGGGGGGTTACAAGGTTGTTCTATTGTTAAAAACTCTTAAAACTTTCAGTAGTCGATAGTATAGAAAGAGCACTAAATAAAGCCTTTTGGGAATCAGACATTAGGTATTTTGACAACCCAAATAAATTCATGAACTGTGAAGAGTGATATTATAGAAAGTATTCATAACAAGGAGAAGAAAAATAGAGGGACAAAATGAAACAATTATAATCGAAACAAAGAAATAAAAAAGCTGAAAAAATAAAACGGCATCATAATCTTGTCTCATATCGCATTGTTATTTTAAAGCCCCACTGTACTACTTTTAGCTACTTGCTTCCTCTATATAGAAAACTTCCCCAATCGGTGCCTGTTGGTCCCCCATGATCCTCTTTTTCTTATGTTAGTTGAGAGCTGAGTTAATGAGATAGCCACCTGTCAGTGACCTCGCTGTGTGGTCTAATCCCTTCTGGCCCAGTAGTATTGACAGTCTTTAAAACGTAGTTGCAACCAGTGACGTTTTCAAGGGGGTTAGAGGGACAGAGGACACGCCCCCTTCCGACAAAAGAAAGTGCTATAAAATGGAATAGAATAGGAGTTACAGGGGATGTGAACATATAAAACCGTATAAGGGGCATTTTTCTTCGTTTTTAGTTAAAATTGTTCCTCTCTTTTAATTTCCTTTTCTTTAATTGCAAGATCAAAATAGTAAAGACTAAACAAATCTCCGTCATGGTCGGTGGGTGGGGAGGGGCTGCATTCCATTGACCATGTGTCTCAGCTATTCCCAATAATATATCTGGTATATAGCGATGGGGGGGGGGGGGGGGGGCTGTATCAGTTTGAACATGTGTTTCCTCTCTACAGGGAATAAATTGTTCGATCGATTTTGACTGAACTAATAGTCTCCGATCTCATTATCATCGCATTTAAGTTCCGCGTAGGTTAATTATCCAAACTGCCTCGCATTACCACTCGAAAGATAATATTGATGGAGAACTACTCAAACATCCCATTTATAGTACCTTCGGTTGGGATTGGCTCATCGGCGAGCCCATTGTTACGTAATTATTTTGTGACGTCATGGATGCAGAGCAAATAGCAATGTTGCTATGAGAGATGTTTCTCGATATCGACCAAAGTAAGCAAAGACGGCTAGTTGTAAGAAATGTGGAACACATAATGTTCAGCCATTTATTTTTCACGATCGGGTAAAGGTTATATTTGCACGTTTGACTACAGTAATCATGACTTCGATCCTTCCAATACGGTGATACACATATCATTCACTAATGGGAATTGTCTAAACACGGATACTGCTGTGTCTTGGCTTGGTGTTGATTTTTGACGAACTTCAGCGCTCGACTAAAACTTATTTGATGAACATTCTCTCCTTTCATGTTGAGAAAACCAGAGAGAGGATTTTCTCTTTTATGCAGCGTGTCAACCCGAACATTTTCACTATTGTATATTTGTGCCGGAAAACATGATGACTGTATTAAAAATAAATTGTGTTGATGCAAGTCTAATCAAGTTTTGTCTTTATTTAGTTTGGAGACGGTGCCTTTTTGCATGGATTAATAGGCTTGATGATGCTCATCAATTAAGCATTTAGCGTCACCTGTGTCTGGGAGAGGAAAAGCTAGGGTACTGAATCACTGTGACACTCGATAAGTTCTCTCCTCCCTATATAACGTATTGTGGATGTGCTGGTGGTAGTGTTAAACCCTCTTCACCCTGGGTTTCCCCCTATCGTGCAGTGGGTTTTAAAGTGCAAAGTGACGACATTATTATACACGGAGCCTACGTTTAATGTCCTATCCGAGGGACGGAGTATTTTCCACTGTAGCATAGCCTGCGTCTAAGAATCAAGAGAGGGGCACGTTAACACACAACGTAGACTTCAAGTTCAGTCATCCAACTGGATTGGATTTGTACCCTCAATCTTAATTTGGTTCGATATGCAGACGCTTTACCGTTCGTGCTGTTTTTGCTGTGTCGCCTAAAAGTTTAATAAAAAAATGATTTGGATACATCGTTTTTCTGTTCTGTAGCTCTATGCACGAATCGATTGAATTATCAAATCAAATCTACACAACACTGTAATAGTCGGAAAAGCTTATTTGGAATAAATCACTTATGTTTCCTGTAAGTATAGCTTTAACCCTTCAAGGGATAATAATCAAATCGAAACCACTACTTCTTCTTCTTCTTCTTCTTCTTCTTCTTCTTCTTCTTCTTCATCTTCTTCTTCTTCTCCTTCCTCTTCTTCTTCATCTTCTTCTTCTTCTCTCTTCTTCTCTTCTTCTTCTTCTCTTTGTCCTTCTCCTTCTCCTTCTTCTTCTTCTTCTTATTCTTCGTCTTCTTCTTTTTTCTTCGTCTGCATCTTCTTCTTCTTCTTCTTTTTCTTCTTCTTTTTCTTCTTCTTCGTCTTCTTCTTCTTCTTCTTTTTCTTCTCCTTCGTCTTCATCTTCTTTTTCTTTAAAAAAAATATATATTATCGTACTGAACCTGATTCATTGGATAGATTTAAAATAGTAAATCAAATTTTTAAATAAGTAATAAGCAAACACGATATATATTATATACTTTTTTCAACTCAGGAACGCCAGGCAAATTTTAGGCATTCGAATTCCAAATATTTGTGTTTGTTTCTCCTGAAGGCTCATACTTCCGAACTTCCCAGACCGGGGAGGGACTACTCCTAAAATGTAACAGCTAGGGTTCATAATTCCGAACATTAGGCATTTTATAGGCACTTAAAGTGCTGAAAGACCAAACTAACATTCTGTCCCCTATGCCCATGTGTCCCCTTTGAGATCAACGTTGCATACATAATGTATAGTACACAATTCCAGGAAAGTTACCCCTCCCCCTTCCCTTCCAGGTGATGTTTTGATATATTACTATTATTTAATTTGTCATCATAAAAAAAAAATCACTCATGTAATATTTGTCAGTCGATTTCTTTGTCAAAGAAGGAAAGAAAGCTTTAAACCTTGCTTTATTTGTCTGGACAAAATATTTGAACAATGTGCTTATTTTATGGACCGTCTATACATTTATTAAGTTCGCCCTGTCAATAATGTTTAATTTGGTTCTAAAATACATTATGTCCGAAAAGCAGATAGTATCAGCAATGTGATTGACGTGAACCTTCACTAAATAAATGACAAAAGTTCATGTACGTGCTATGCATCATTAAAGTGAAGTAATTAAACTCAAGGGTGGAGTAGTGGGAGAAGGGGGGGGGGGGGGGGGGGAGGGGTCATGGGAATCCGGACCCTATTGTACCTTTTATATATTTTAAACTAATCAGAGATTTTTTAGGAGCGATATAAAAGGGATCCCTACCCTTTTCAGCCCGGTCACGTTTAAGTTTCTTTCTCCGATTGCTTTATCTTTATACAAAATTAAAAAAAAATCATCATAAAAGTCTAGGCTTATAAGACGTCAGAATGAGATAACAGGGCATTATGTTACCAAGGTGTGAGTTGAAAGTTGGTCCAATGTAGAACTTTAACAACCCCCCCCCCCCCTAATACAGGAATGGTGACATTAAGGTAGGATAATTATATAATAGAGAGAGAGAGAGAGAGAGGGAGAAGGGGGGTATATCATTATACCTTGGCACGATAACCCCCGGGTATAATGATTTGAATGGTTTTTTATTGCTTTTAACGATTTCGATCTGCGTTAATCCATTATGTTAACATATCGTACTTCACAGATTAATTGACGGTCGGCTAACACAGCAATGGAGAGCCCTCCAACCTATCAACAACCCATGGGCGAAAGGCCTACTTATGCATCTCTGCTAGATGTAGGGACTGCGAGCTACGATCAAACGACGTCATCATCAAACACGACGTGGCATGACGTCACAGATCATCAACCGTCGATCGCGTGGTTGATCACCGTACCTCTTGTCGTGGGGAGTATAACGATCGTCACCGTTATCGGCAACGCGTTGGTGATGGTGGCTTACAACAAGGACAAGCGCATCCACGGTCGCGTCGCCAGCTTGCTCATCTTAAATCTCGCCGTTTCTGATCTCATCATCGGTTTGGTCGTTCTCAGCATCAATCTGGCCTGGATTACGTGGAACGAGTGGTTAGGTGGGGAGTTCTGGCTTCTCGGGGAAGTCTTCTGTAAACTATGGCTCGTGATCGACAACACAGCCAGCATGTTGTCCGTCTTCACCATCATCCTTATCAGCCTTGACCGGTACTGGCTGCTCACCAAGAAAATGCATTACCAGAGCTTCCAAACACGCAAACGTGTCTTGGTGACGATCTCCCTACTGTGGTTGTCAACTGCTTCTGTTTATACTCTTATTGCAGTCGGTTGGCCGTACTTTACCGGTGAACGTAGTGTTGATTATAGTAAAGAATGTGAACTCGATATGGCGTATAATGTGTATGCTACCAGCGTCGCGTTGGTTTGTGAGTTCCTCATACCGCTCACGGTCATCATCGCTCTCAACAGCGCCGTGTACGTCAAAATTAGGAACCGCGCAAAGGGTCTCAAAGAAATGGGGCAAAGAAAAGTTAGTCGCTCCGAACGAGTAGAACTTAAAGCAGTTTCCACGGGAACCAATCGCACATCTCCCCCTGTTTTATCCGAGGTTTCTTTATCCGATGTCAATATAGTCCTCGAATCATCTTGTGTCAACTGTATAAACAACGTCGACGACCACCAGACGATCGCGATGCGTCTTGACAACGAAACTGGCGAAAAACTACGAACGCTACTGCAGAAGCGCACAAAAGCAAGCGGGAGTATGCGCGTCATTTGCGCGCGGCAATAGTCTTGGCTGTTCTAGTGTCAGTGTTCATAGCGTGCTGGCTCCCGTATCAAATTGTTAACGTCATCAATGCAATATGTGACGAGTGTGTATCAGATCTTGTCTGGGAAATTGTTAATAATATCCTCTGGTGCAATTCGTTCGTTAACCCTTTCTTGTATGCCGCAACTAACGTTCACTTCAGGAGGAATTTTATCATTTTGCTTGGACTTCACAGGTTTCGATGTTTCAGAAGCACGATGCATGCGGCAGCTCGACCCAGCTCAACAGCTGATAGAATCAGACCCAGATTTCGTCATCAGCAACAATAGTTCAATCAGCTCCACGTAGATATATATTCCTGATTTGAAATGACGATAATATGTGATCTTAAATATACTGTCTATGTCCCTTTTGTCCTATCTGTGAAATTTAAACATTAGCAGTGTCCTGGTATTCAAATTATGCAATGAAGGAAACCTATTTACTTTCTAGACTTCCCTGTCGGACACTATATTGAGTTACTTGGTAATATTCACATGAGCTGTAACAGGAACATGAGCATTTGCCTACATCAATAACCCACTATACTTGTAATGGCCCAAAGTAAACTGATTGAATCTTCGTGCAGCACAAAATGTACGACCATACGGTACAAGGGTCTGACAATCAGATTATTATTTAGGTAATTGCAATCAATTATGTCGATTCGACAACTGATGGTCGAAATTTTTCCCACAAAAAGCCATTTTCAAACCCTTTCGTTTTGAGGGAAGTTCTAAATAAGTATTGTCTTTCAAATGCCGTTGGATTTTAACTTTTTCTTTTTTTGTGTAAAACCTGCAAATGGGGTATGGTACCTTTAAAGGTTCCAAGTCCCATTTACAGGCCCCAACAATGAAAGATCAAAGGTTAACATCAAAAGCATAACGTTTATACAGAACACTTAAAATAAAATTCCATAGTACATTCAGAAAGATATAACACAGCAATAATAGACGTCTCACAAACGAATACTCGTTTGCAAAATAATCATATATCATTAACCTAGTTCAACTGTATTGCCAATAGGAAAACATTGATTAATTCTCAATTATGTGAATAAATCATGATAATATTACAGATAATACACGTATGTATTATGCTCGAATTATCTAGCTTATTCCATTCAACTATATACAATTGGGCAACACTAATAACAGTCAGTGTGAAATCTTGGCACACGTAAATATCCACAGTCTTTTAGCCTTGTATGATGTTCATAAACATTATGATTAATTATTAAGCCTACCTGAAGGTAAGAAGGTGCTAAGTTTTGAACGCATTTATATAACATTATAAAGCGACTTAACTCAAACCGTTTTGTCTTATGTTATCCCGTTAAACTTGTGAACAAATCAGCCGACAGTGTGTCATATTAATTGTATGTATTGTTCAATATTATTCTTGCGGCCCTCTTCTGATTTTTTTGCAGCTTCGTTGTAAGGAAATGAAATCTGTTCGACCATACAACAGCGTATAGTAATCAAATCGTGGCAACACTAGTCTGTTATAAAGTAACTTTAAAGATTGTTTAGGCAAAAAACTATTTGCTCACTTTATTATGCCAATGCATTGCGTCGATGTCACGTTATTTTTTCCAATTTTTCACCGATTTTTGAATGTAATTATTTCCTATTTCAATGTCATGCAGCTCTTGATGTCTTTATATACATGATTTTGATTGGACGAAATGAAATTGAATTGAATTGAATTGAGTCACGTTCCGTCATAAGCTTAACAATTAAATCTCGTTAGATATCCATGGACATGCATTTTTCTTATCCGCTGTTTACATACTGGTATGTGCTTGTTGATTATATTAATGAATAGAGTCAGCCACATATACCAAGCAACATCAACATTATCTATATCTTTTATATTAAAGGAGTACTTCTCCATTCACTGTAAAAGTTCTCCTCGTCGAGATTTTTAAACGAGCGAAATTCTGCATATTCAGTTTTTGTATTGATTTTTGCACTGAAATCGCCCATCGTATATTACCCACTCATTGTAAGTTCTTTATCTGATAATATCAAATCAATTAAAGTAGAAGAGGTATTTGTACCTCTTGTGGCAGTATCATTAGCTGACTTAGCCCGGGCGTACATATTTGTATAAAACATTATCTTTGCAGCATTCACAATATGTGTAATATAATACAGCTCATAGCTTCCGAAAGAGCAGAGTCCAAAATTTCCGACTAATTCTTTAAAGAAATCAACGTGAGAATTTGGAGGCCTGTAAAACTGCCCAACCAGGATGGGAGACTTAATATTTGAATGATGCAATTCAAACCAAAGGCATTCTAAAGTAGATGAAAAGAAGTCATCCCTTCTTTTATAATTAAACCTCTTAGATATACACTGTTGGTCATAATGGTGGAATAATTATTTTTACCCCAATTTATTGAATGATTTGGACAATGATTTATTCCTAATAGATCTAGATAATAGTATGCATTCTCAGATTTTGTTGAATGACAATTAGAGAGTGTTTGTTTTGCGTGACTGCTAAAGCATGTGTGTGCTACAACTAGGGGACCTACGTCACTAAGTCATAACTGACAGTAATGGGGATTAATACATCATAAAAGGGTACTAATATACCACATTGACACGGTTTTGATCCTGGGGGCTCACAGTAACGAGGCCATTGCTTAGCCAATGAATCATGACTGTACGCAGCGGGCGCTAGGGTATGTCGACGCCCCCACAAAAACCAAAAACAAAGAAAATGCAATAATTTTTCAATAATTCATTGCATTTTGCCCCAACCCCCAACCTAAAAAAATCCTCTATGTGGGCATGCCTTGAACCATAATGCATGGCCCTACAGAGGATTTTTTCCTGTTGGGGACTGGGGGAAAATGCAATGAATTATTGAAAATTATTGCATTTTCTTTTTTCTTTTTTTTTTTTTTTTTCTTTTTTGTGGGGGCGTCGACGTATCCTAGCGCCCGCTGCGTACAGTCATGATTCATTGGTTTAGCAATGGCCTCGTTACTGTGAGCCCCCAGGATCAAAACCGTGTCGATGTGCTATATTAGTGCCCTTTTATAAGGCATTAATCCCCAATACTGTCAGTTATGACTTAAGGACGTATAGGTCCCTTAGTTGATTAGCATAGTAGCACATACATGCTTTAGCAGTCACGCAAACAAACACTCCCCAATTGTTATTCAATAAAGTCTGAGAATGTATACTATTATCTAGATTCAATAGGAATAAATCATTGTCAAAATCATTCAATAAATTAGGGTAAAATATTTATTCCACCATTATGACCAACAGTGTATATACAGCCACACCACCACCATGTCTTGTACGGTCTCTACGTAATAAATATAATCATCTATAATAATACAATTCAGAATCATCAATCTTAGCAACTAAGCTATGAATATTCAAATGAGCAAATTTTAAACCCCCGTTTCTATACGGAGGAACTGAGCCACCTTCTAAGTATGTATATTATTACCAAGGGCGTATCGAGTGAGGGGGGGGGGGGGGGGGGGGGGGGGTTGAGCCAACAAAAAAAACAAGAATGCTTGCCGGGGGAGGTATACGTTAAATGTTATTTTTGCATATTTCCTATTTAATCACGTTGATATTTTCAAACCTTTAACGCAATTTGATTACTGTTTTTGTCATTATTCTTTTTCTTGCCACAACTGGCACTGTACAAAGCACTAGTAATATAAGCTGTCATTTGTATTACCAGATCATGACAAATCATGTCTGCGGACGTTGTTTGCTTTAGCCAGCATGGCAGGGAGAATCAAAAGCTCTACTCTTCTATTTGAAGCTTTGTTCAGTATAGTTGTTGATTTATTGCGGTGCATTAATTATATTACTCATTAAAAGACAGATATATGTTTCAGTTCATGTTGTAGTGTCGTTCATGATTTATGGTGCATCGTTTATATCTGTGAGTGTGTCCGATATCCTCGTAAAAAGCTGTAAATATGAGTTCAAGATCTATTAAAATGATTGTACTCTCATACAAAAGGTAAAGAAAAAATTTATAGAACCAGCGCTTAAATGGGAAGTCCACCTAGGTAATATGTTTTTTTAATATAAGGAGAAAAATTAAAAGAACTGATCAGTGAAGGTTGGTGAAAAATCGGATTTAAAAAAGTTATTGATTTGTTTAAATCCATACAAATTGGCAACGCGGTCTCTGAATATGATGTCACCCTCTCACATTGAATCATTATTTTGTCATTAAATTCCATTTGATTCTTCATGCCTATCTCGATCATATATGACGGATAACATGTTCTTTCATAAGTCTACTATTCCATTAACATTCAGAGAAATGAAGATTTGTGGTGATTCTGTCATTCAGATCAGTGGTGAATTGTGAAGGGATGACATTACAATTGTTTGACCTCATTGCCAATTTTTCAGAAAGATTTCATGATGTTAATGATTTTGAAAGGTTCATAACTTTCTTGTTTGTTATCCGATTTTATTTCTTCAAACTTTCACTGAATTGTTTCTCAAATTGTTCTGCTTCTATATTAAAACCTATTTTATATCGGGGTAGACTTTCCCTTTTAAACAAAATGAAGGATAATTATGTATTTTCCTCCATTAGCTTAATTTGCTTATAGTTATAGTTCGTTTACTTTTTTTGAAAAGTGGGTATTAGGGTTCGGTCGAGAGAGCTTATTAACATTTTCAGATGAGAGACCATCAACTACATACATTTCTTTATTTAAAAAAAAAAAAAAAAAGTATTCAAAATTATACTAAAAGATAGTAAAAACAAAATGTTGATACATGTAATAGATATATTTGTTTTGTTCCTGCCCAGGTTAGTAACATGGTGTTTTGTACAAGCCTAGTTTTATGCATTTAACATACATTTTCTATTCTCACGCGAGCTAAAAGCGACACTAAAGTGATGACATTTCTGCCCTGGCTTACCGTTTCAAGGAGATTCGATCAAAGAGTACTATGTCCTTCGAAGGGACGTAC